AGCTCCGATGGCTCGTGGGTCCCCATCACTTTCACTCTTTGCCACGTCAAAGGCTGCTGGTCAGATCCCGAGTCCCTCTGCACTGGCCCAGGGGTGCAAAGTTATGTGGACCAGAAGGAAAGGCCTTGCCCCACCCCACCACGGGCTTTGGACAGAGCCCCCAGCCAGGGCTGTCATGGGAGGCTGTGAATGCCCCGCCCCCATCCCAGCAGCTGCCACTGTGGTTCTTCCGGGAGCCGCACATGTCAAGCCCGCAGGGCCTCTGCCCACTCCCCGCCTGGCAGAATGTGACGTACCTGCCGGTCTGATTCCAGGAGAGGAGGACAAGCGTGTGGCAGTCCCTACCTTCAGCGCCTCGTATGGGACCTTATTTGGAAATAGGGTCCCTGCAGATGGAACTGAGATATGGCCATAGGGTGGACCTGCTTGGATCTGACCGGTGACCTCAGGAACAGGGAATCTGGATGCCGACTCACACACAGGAAGGACGCCGTGTGAAGATGAAGGCGGAGATTGGAGTGAGGCTCCATAAGCCAAGAAACCCGAGGCTGCCCGGGAGCCCCAGAGGCTGGAGGGACTGGGCAGAGGCCCCCTCGCAGCCCCCGAAGGAGCAGCCCCAAACTTGAGCTTGGACTTGGAGCCCCAGGGCTGGGAAGAGAAATGTCTGCTGTGAAGGCTGCCAGACTGTGGCGCTTTGCTGTGACAGTCCTAGCAGACGAGTGCAAGTGACTTTAGTCAGACCCAACGAGCAACCCCGAATGGTGCGGACCCATCAGAACGGGGCCGGCCACAGCATTGAGTGATGTTTCAGAAGCTCTTTGCCGTTCCCTGCTTGGATCCTGGGGGAAGGGATTGGGGTGACTTTTGGGGGACACCTGGAGGCTCAGGGTAGGGGCTGTTCAACGGGCATGGAAGCTGTTCCATGTTTTCACAACCACATGGGTGTGCAGATGCACACCACTCCGTATCAGGCCAGTGGGACAAGAAATGCCCTCAGGTCCCAGGAGGTCATGGCTTCCATATTGGCAGAGCTCTCGGCCCAGGCACGACCTTTGGAATTTGTTGTTTGGAAACTGAGGTTGAGTTCCCCAAGAGACACTGCCAGATAGGGACATGCAGGTCAAGGGTACAGGGGCGAGTGCTCTTGGGGACAAAGGCTGTGAGAGAGGGCGGGAGCAGGTGGGGGGCGCTGAGCTGTGCTCCACTCACAAAGGTTTCTGATGAGGTCTCGGTGCTTTTGGTGCTGAAGGGGCCCTTTAGAGAGGCCATGAATTGGGGTAAAGGACTGACCTGTTCCTTCCTCCATAGACTATTCATGGGGTAGGGGTAACTCCCAGGGCAGGGAGAAACCTTGGGTGAGGCAACTGCCTTTGGCTGAGGGCATTTCCTTGGGAGGGGCAAGCTGTGAGCTGTAGGCAGCTGGCTGGACCGGTGCTGTGGTCCCGCTGGGAGGGATGGCGCAGGGCACAGCGGCAAGTGCCTGCCATGGTCCTCCATGACGTAGCTATAGAGATGTAGAGACAGATACACAGAGTGAGATAGATAAACAAGTACAGAACCATAGAGACGAGGACAGGCAGGCAGGCAGACAGACAGATAGACAGATAGACAGATAGACAGACAGACAGACAGATAGACAGACAGATAGGCAGACAGACAGACAGGCAGACAGATAGGCTGGCAGACAGGCAGACAGACAGGCAGACAGGCAGACAGACAGACAGGCAGGCAGACAGACAGGCAGGCAGGCAGGCAGACAGGCAGGCAGACAGATAGACAGACAGACAGACAGGCAGGCAGGCAGACAGACAGGCAGGCAGACAGACAGATAGGCAGACAGACAGACAGGCAGGCAGGCAGACAGGCAGGCAGACAGACAGGCAGGCAGACAGACAGACAGGCAGGCAGACAGACAGGCAGGCAGACAGACAGANCAGACAGACAGGCAGGCAGACAGACAGACAGGCAGACAGACAGACAGGCAGGCAGACAGATAGACAGACAGACAGACAGGCAGGCAGACAGATAGACAGATAGGCAGACAGACAGACAGATATACTGGCAGGCAGACAGACAGGCAGACAGGTAGACAGACAGGCTGGCAGGCAGGCAGACAGACTGACAGGTAGACAGACAGGCAGACTGACAGGTAGACAGACAGGCAGACTGACAGGTAGACAGACAGGCAGGCAGGCAGACAGGTAGACAGAGAGACAGACAGACAGACAAAGAGAGATTAGATAGATATGGAGATGTAGGCAGAGATGTAGATGTGGGTAGCCATGGAGATAAGTAGAGATATAGGTAGCTAAGAAGCTAGATAGCTAGATGGGCGGTTGTATGCATGGATGAAAGGGGGCTTATTATGGGAAATGAATTACATGATTATGGAGACTCAGAAGTCCCATGATTTGCCCTGTGCAAGTTGGAGACCCAGAGAGGCTGGTAGTGTGGCTCCGTTCAAGCCTGAAGACCTGAGAACCAGGGAGGCTGGCAGCGTAACTCTTGGTCATTGGGCCACTGGTGTAAGTCCCAGGGTCCAAAGGCCAGGGAACCAGGAGTTCCAACGTCTAAGGGTAGTAGGAGGTGGGTGTCCCAGCTCTGGTGGGCGAGAGAGAGAGAGAGCAAGAGGGCCCAATTCATCCTTCCGTTCTGCCTGGGCCCTCAGTGGTTTGGATGGTGCCCTCCCACATTTGGGGAAGACAGATCTTCCTTGCTCAGCCCTCGGATTCAAATGCCAGTCTCTCCTGGAAACACCCTCACAGGCACACCCGGAGATAATGCTTCAGTGCTCTCTGGCTGTCCCTTCATCCAGTTCAAGCTGACAGCTGAACTGAACCATCACACGTTCACTCCCTGTCAACCTGGAACCCATACACATCTCCTCAAACCGCACTTAACCTCCGACAGAGCAGAGCAAGGCCATGGTTCCGACTAACAAGTTACAACTACCCCCATGCAACCAGACACACTGGCCCCCTCCCTGGAAGAGGAGGTGAAGTCCTCGAGTGATGCTCACTCTCCTGATTACCCACGGCTTCAATACTGTGGTGTGAAGTTAACGATACCTTGAAACGGAGACAAGGTCACTAGATCTTATGTTACATGATAAAAGAGGGAGAGAGGGAAGAAAACAGATACTTGTTTAATATGTGTACGCATACGCACAAATGTGTTCTTAACAAAATAGAGAGGAAACATGCATGACACTTACAGTCCTCATTTCTGTAACCAGCCAAGCTACAGGAGCGCCTGGTGTTTATAACCAAGGTCTTCTACTCCCGTTCTGTGGTCCCTTTGCCCTAGTAAGCACCTCAGCTGGTGGTGGTTCTGTACCTGGCCAGGTCACCCAAGGCTTCATTGCTTAAGGGTCTGGGTCTTGCTGTAGTTTCCCAGGGATCTTAACCACAAGGCGTGATTCCACTTAGAGAAGTGCTAAGGGGCCTCCTGCATCCCACGCTGGCTCTTCCAACCTCGGTTGTGGAGTGCAGTCCAATGCCCCCTGGGTCCTCCGGATCGATCCCCCAGCCAGCATCCAAACTCCCTTCTTGGGCTGTTGACTCTGAGGCTTGAGGAGCCCCCAGTAGCCGGGTGCCTGGGTGGCACCTTAACTTCCAGTTCAATGGAGTAATTGCTGTGTCTCCTGGTGGCAGCATTCCTCACCTGGGAACCAAGGTCCCCAGGCCAGCAGAACATAAAGTCATGGGAACAGGAAAGGAAAAGTCTGCTAGTGGGTCACTGGGGGTGAGGGAGGGTGGTGCTACTCCCACTTCCGCCCCTCGGTTCCCGGGCCCAGGAATCCTGACTGTGGGAGAAACAGCTCCACATACTGGACACTGATCAGAGCCCAGACATCCTCCTGGAGCGCCTTGCCCCAGCCCCACAAGGCGTCACCACCCAGCTGGTACTGGAGCTGCGTCTGCAAAAGCCCATTCCATGTTCCATCATGCCAACTGCTTCAGGACGATGGAGAACACAGTAAGACCCCTGAATGCCAGGAGCATGAGTCCCTGCCACACTTCTTTGGCTGCGAAGTGAGTTCCTTGGTCAAAGCAACGCTGTGTGGACAGCATGGCCGTGGATGAGGCATTCTGAACCCACAGACAGTAGTGGTGACCATGTGCAGGGAGGGCAAGTCCGTATCCATGGCAGGTGCCCATCCCAGTAAGAACAAACCACTGCCCCCCCCACCACCACCACGGGAGCCATCCAGGGTCATCCACCGGCCCCCAGGCACGGGCTGGTCACTCTGGGAAATGGAGCTTGTCAGGCTGAGTGCTGGTCTCTGCTGCTGGCAGATGGGGCACATGGTGGTGGTGGCACCCAGCTAGGCCTTGGTGAGTGGAAGTCCATGTTGCTGAGCCCATGTGCAGCCTCCATCCCTGCCACCACAGCCACTTGGCTCATGAGTGCACTGGGTGATGAGAGGGCCGGCTGGGAAAAGGCTAACTGGCATCCACAGAGCGAGTCCTCCTGTCCACCTGATTACTGAAGTCCTCCTCTGCTGAGGTCACCCTTTGCTCAGCATTCACACGGGACACAGATATCTTGATGTCCTTTGCCTGTTCAGAGAGGGCTCTCTATACATCTCTTCTACAAATGACTTTGTCACCAGTTTTCCAATCATGTTCCTTTCAAGCACCTGAACATCCCCCTAAAGCACTGCAGCAGCCACCAATCAAATATCATCACACATCTGCTCCTTCTAGGCGGAGCGTCAACAGGTGCATGGGAAGTTCTACTCATGGGGAAGGTTCCTCTTTGCCACTGTCCTTGAGGAGCGTCGCCCCGGGCTACAGGGCTACAGCCTGGCCTGCGTATTGAGCAGAACCATTTGTAAGTGTGGCCTGAGTCTCCTTTTCCTCTGTCAACTAACGAGAGGGAACTCCCCATGCAGCTCCAGGAGCAGACGGGGAGGGAGAAGGCAGGGAGCAGGAGTGGGGCCACGGGCTTCCGGCCTCTTGTTCACGTAACTTACTTGTGCCTTCAGGACCTGATCTCCTCCCCCCACTTCCACTCAATGAGATGGCACTGCTGTGCACACGTGACTTTACGGCTGTGTGGGTCAGATAATCCCCAGACTGTGATGAGCAGTTCAGGTCACGTGGTAACTTGGTGGCCCTTGGCCAAGTGTTTAGTTTCTTTTTCTCTTTTTTTGAGACACAGTCTCATTGTGGCAGCATCTTGACCCACGGCAACCTCCGTCTCCCGGGCTCCAGTGATTCTCCTGCCTCAGGTAGCTGGGATGACCGGCCTGCGACACCACGCCTGGCTAATTTTGTATTTTTAGTGGAGAAGTTTTCACCATATTGGCCAGGCTGGTCTCAAACTCCCAACCTCAGGTGATCCACCCACCTCGGCCTCGCAAAGTGCTGGGATTACAGGCGTGAGCCGCCGCGCCTGGCTACCAAGTGTTTTGCTTCTACGAAGGCCCAGAAGCAGGCCAAGAGCTGTTTCTCAGGAGGTGAGTGGGTTATCTGTGCAGGGTGGCAGGACTTTGCTCCAAAACCCTAAAGGCCTGAGCTGTGAGTCATCGACAGGGGCCTGGCAAATGTCCCATACACGGTCTCTGTCTGCCACGGATACCCAGGCACCACTGGACATGCTGGGTCATGCAGCCTGCCTGGTAGAGAGGTGTGGGCGGAGCCCGGACCTACTGCAGACCTTTCTCTTGCTCTGGGCCGTGCTTAAAACTAGCAGCTTTTCAGGTCACTCAGGAAATGGACAGAGGTGGACACTTAAAGAGGAATAACGTGTCAACCCCACATCAAACATGACCCCTAGTGTTGTTCTTCCCTTCTGGTTGCAGGAGGGCTCAGATGCAGCAACTTACCCTTCACCTTAGAACAGACCCCACACCACTGGCAATTTCGCTGAGGTAGGGGGCTCTGAATTTTGGTTGGATTTATTCTCCACCCTCTGACACCAACAGGCCTAGAATGGTGGCTTCTTCTTGTGCCTTATGTCCCAACAGCATAATGTCATCAGCGTAATGGGCCAGTGTGACATCCTGGGGAAGGGAGAGGCAATCAAGACCCCTGAGAACTACCTTCGGACACAGGCTGGAGAGGTGAGGGACCCCTGACGTGGGACGGTGAGCGTGCGTTGCTGGCCCGGCTTCTGCTGGGCCTTGTGGGCAGGGGTGGAGAAGAAGCATTTGCCGGATCAACAGCTGTGCCCTGGGTAACTGGAGATGTGCTAATTGGCTCAAGCGATGGAGCCGTGTCTGGCCCAGCAGCTGCAGGTGGAGTCAAGCTTACGACAGTCCCGTCATTCTGCAGGACCCACCTGTCTCCCCTGAGGGCCACATAGGTGAGTGGAGTAGGCTGTGGGGGGTCACCGCCCCTGCACCTTTGGAGTCCTTGGTGGTGGCACTGACATCTGCAGTCCCTCCAGGGACGTGGGATGGCTTTTGACTGACTATTGTAGGTAGAGCCTTTCTAATGGCGCCCACCCTGCCCTTCCCACCACAGTAGTCCCCACCCCCTAGGGCAGGGGACGAATGTGGGGGCTCTGCCGGCTGCTGAGTGTGTCTGTTACACATCTGGAGCTGGGGAAATGACCACAGGATGGGTCTGGGGACCCACTGGACCCACAAAGTCAGATCTGAGCTAAAACTCCATTGATCACCCGGCTTTCTAAGCCCCTCCCTAACCGGAAGGCCACAGTGTCCCTCCAGTGTCTCCCAGAATCAATGTCAGGCCAGAGGCAGCATCCAGTCATCCCAAAATGTCTCATTATTTTCCTTTCTGCAATACACAGTTACCCAGATAGAAAGCCATAGGCCCCTTTGGAGAAGACCAGGGGAAGAATTAACAGTATGTATAAATTTTTGGCAGACCTAGGGTCCTTCCTCAAGGGTACCCCGCCTTTCTTTCATGTAAGGAGTCTGGGTTCATAGCCTCAAGTCTCTGAATGACTGAGGCCATGACTCTCCGTGTTTATAATTGGAGTTAGACTTTTCTCTACTTGATCTGGAAGTTTTCTGCTTGTATCCAGTAGGAACTGAGCAGGCTCCCCATCTGTTTCCCTGCTAGGAGCAGCAGGATAAACAGCCAGTGCCGTAGGTCTGCATGGGTCAGACCTGAGACCCAGGCCTCTGCTGTCCATCATGGTAACCACACCCACTTTGCCTTTGGTGCTCCAGTGTCCCCGCTTGGCCCCTGCTGCCCCAGGATCCAATTATTCCCATCACCTGTAAGTTTTGCAGTTGATTGACTGCAGTTTTCAATGTGAGTCTGGCCTACAGAGAAGAACAATGACAGAGGTCTTCGAGGAGACGGGGCTCCTCGCAAACCCGTGTCTCAGTGTTGTGAAACAGCAGTCCCCAACCTTTCTGGCACAGGGACTAGTTTCATGGAAGAATATCTTTCCATGGACCCGGAGTTGGAGGGTGGTTTTGGGATGATTCAAGCACATTACATTTATTGTGCACTTTATCTGTATCAATATTACATTGTAATGTATAAGGAAGCAATTACACAACTCGCCCTAATGTGGAATGAGTGGGAACTCTGAGCTTGTTTTCCTGCAGCTAGACAGGGGGTCTAGTTGGTTCCATCTGGGCGTGATGGGAGGTATGACAGATCATCAGGCATTAGATTCTCACAAGGAACATGCAATCCAGATCCCCGGCATGGGCAGTTCACAATGGGGTTTCGCTCCTCGGAGAATCTAATGCTGCTGCTCATCTGACAGGAGGCCGAGCTCAGGTGGTGACGTGAGTGACGTGGAGTGGCTGTAAACACAGGTGAAGCTCTGCTCACTGACCTGCTGCTCACCTCCTGCTGTGTGGCCCGGTTCTAACAGGTCATGGACCAGAACCAGTCCGTGGCCGGGGGTTTGGGGATTCCTGTTGTGAAAGGTTTGCCTTCTGTGCCCCCCCAGGGTGGGTGAGGAGGTTTTCATTGCCACATTCCAGTCTCCCTAAGCCTTTGAACCCCCCTCCTCTATGTTAAGCCAAAGGAGCTTGGGCATCACCAGCTCACTTATACCAGGCATCCTTTGATCCATTTTTCAACCAACCTACCAGTTAGAGCCTTTCCAAGTCCCCGAGCTGCAGCCTGGAATGCAGCCTCTGCTTGGTGGCTGTGTCTGCACACCCGGCCCCTCCACCTGCATGTTCCTCTCCCAGTGCTCACACCCTGTGTCCATTCCCACTCATAACCCCAGGTGTCTGTCTGTATAAATCAGAAAGGTCAAGTGATTCTTCTGGGGTGTGGCTAGCCTCCTCCTGGGTCACACTGTGGGCCTCACCTTCAGGGGCCTGCTGGGCTGTGAATCTTGTTATAGGTCTTGAAGCGAAGGGAGGAGTTGGGAGGCTCCTGAGGAGAATCAGCACTGACTCACCTGGCAACCGCCTTAGGGGAGGTCCCTACCCTATCCTCAGGCAACGCAAGTTAATGCCTCAGAGGAGGTGGAAAGGCCAGTACTGCTAGGGGTTGAATGTAGCACTGGTGTTGGGTGTAGCACTGGGGGTGGGTGTAGCACTGGGGGTGTGTGTAGCACTGGGGTGTGTGTAGCACTGGGGGTGGGTGTAGCACTGGGGTG